AGACAAGGACTTTCTACATGACATGTGAAACCGACTCGGAAGTGATGTTTCCCGAGTGCCCCGCTATGATCCACCCCCTCAGACGCGCTAAGATCCATGCCCATCTCATTATTGTACCAGAATCACTAGTCGTCACTCCATCGATTCGCACTCGGTCCATTGTAAGGCACAGTAGTGCAATTGAAAATCCTTAGACTTCGCCAAGGATCGGCCCGCCTGAGACACGCGGTGGCACGCCCAGCTCCCGCGGCCGTAGGGTAGGGCGTAGTGCTATGCCTTGTTGTCGATCGAGACGTTACGGCACCTCCCCGCCGCAATACATTACCAACGGCAGAGTATCATATCACCCTTCAACTTGCTTTTCATTACATTACGTCCATAACATACAATTAGAAAACCCCCCCCCCCCCAAATGTAAGCCCTTTGCACATGACATCCGTTGAAAAGATTCCTAATATATAACATAACGCCAGCCGCCCTATGCCATCGAACCCAAAAGCTCAAGCCCACTTCCCCAACAAAGCCATCAACATAGCTCCCAAACACATAATCCCAAAAGCCGAAAACACCGTTTGCGTACTCGCCTTCCTCAGCGCATGACTAAACAAAAACTCATGCGCCATCAGCTCCACTAAACCGGTGTACAACAAAATCCCCGCACTCAACGCATCGAAAATCCCCGACACCACCAACGTCGTTGCTCCCTCTGGTGGATAACTCTTCCTGACCCCCAAACCCACCGCAATCGCCAGCGGCGTCGAAAGTCCATACGCCAACGCCATAATGTATGGAGTCTTCAGCTTCGCGGCTGGCCAGGAAACAGTGGCAAGTCGTGATCCAAGTCCGAGTCCTTCAAACATTTGGTGGAAGGTCAGGACGATAAACAACGTGTTAAACTCGTTGCCAGAAACGGCAAGTGTAAGTCCAATAAAGATAGAATGAAAGACCACTCCGAATTCAAGGATGAAAATAGATGTTAATTGCGAAGCGTAACTTTCTGCCGGGATATCGTCGATTTCTTGGTGGTCTTGGGTGTGTGAGAAGTGGGGTTCCGCTGCGGAGGAGGTAGAGGAACCGGCGGCGGGAGCAGCGACTTTCCGTTTTTCGAGATCTCCCGAGGCGGCGGAGGTTTCGAGTTCCATTGCGGAGGTCATGGTGGAGAATGTTGCGTAGCGCATGGCGAGGATTTCGACGAAGAAGAGGGCGAAAAGGGAGATTAGGGCGATGCCTTGAGACCATGGGTATTCTGTGATTACTCCGGTGAGACATGGGTTTGTGAGTGCTTGGTTTGAGGGGGAGAGGAGCTGGTAAGCCGAAAGTTAGGATCGCGGGTTTTATGAGAGAGAGTTTGTGTGTGGAATACATACGTGGATAAAGGCGGTTGCAACAATCACGCCGGAACCAAAGTATTTCGCGAAGAAGAACGCCCAGGGAGGTATCCGTAGGGAAGGGTTATTTTTTGCTATAATGGGGAAGAAGGCGCCTGATGTTTGGTTCACACATCGTCAGCCACTGGGTAGGGTAGCAGCGCAGGTTTCCAAGAAACGTACCAAAGCTCGAAGAGAACAGGATGACAAAGACGGAGGCTATCCGAAGCCCCAAGCCTCCATTGAAGTTATTTCCTGTTGCGCAACTGATTGGTGCATCTTGTCGCCGAATGAGCTTGTCTACGACCAGCTGAATATCCAATGAATCCGCCATTTCTATGGATGAAGGAGATGTGTGTATTTGCGTATTTCAACTTGGGACGAGCTTGAAGAAAGACTGTAGGACGGCAGCGGGGGATGATGTGAAATAAATATGATATAGTTGGGTGTGTTGTGGTTCAACTTGTTTGTGGCGGTGGTGGTGGTGGTGGTGGTGGTGAAGCGTGGGTTGCATGCCTGTGAAATTTGGGATAGACACCTTGGTGGGTAGTTACTGACTGCCCCGCCACGCGGTACTTTTTTTGTACCTGGTTGGTGCGGTGCAGCATAGAAAATCGTCGTCACCACTTCTATACCTCTCGAGCTAACGCGTTCGTAAAGGAACAGCGATAAGCCGAGAGGAAAATGTGCCAGTCCCATCCGGGCTCGTCGATCTGACTGACACAACATATCATAGCCGCAAATTCGATTCGCGAAGTATCAGGGAAGGGGTGAGAACCCGGGTGGGTACTGAGACAGACCACCCAATCACCTGTCAGACATCGTCAGAGTACGGCAAGACACTACATCTCATATCATATCAGACATCATATCAATCCTCCAGAGCTACGTACCCGTGTAACATCGATATCAGTTCGGAAGCTCGAAGGAAAAGGTGATACGGAATACAATCAATCCCTGTATTGTCTGTTCCAACATAAGATTCACATACAATACTAGAATCCTACTTCAAACCGGCCTCGGCCTTCCAGGTTGTGTGGCAATGCATGCAAAAAGGGAACCTTGCGGGAGGAGGGAGTCTGCAGATGGTACCGATGTGATTACGGTTGGAATACCGTGGTGAAAAGAGAAAGAGATCTAGAGGGTCCCACCCGGGTGTATATATGCGAGAGGGATTAATATTGACTTGCAAGCTTGCCCGGTGGTTCCCCATAGCCAGCAAGGTATCTAATTCCATGACAGAAGCTGGTATCGGTGTCCCTATTCACCTCAACTGGTGAAAACTTACGAGTGGAATAGGAAAATGTGGGGGGTTCACAGTTTGTATGGACGTGGACGATAGCCGTCTCTTTTCAACTTTCACGGATAAGTCGGCCCTGGAAAAGAAACGGCCGAGTATCGCCGACTGTGTGTATTGAACATAATCTAGTCCTTCTCTAGAAACACTAGAGGTGCCCCAAAGTGCGAGTGTGTATGCAACTTCGATTTCCTGCATGACCAAGAAACGTGGGCGTACTCGAGTATACCACTCACGCGGGGAACACCATCAGCTGAAAAACATGCGGTTTTGTCTTGTATTCCTGTCTTGGAACTCGCTAGGTTAGCTGGAGGATTTTGTCTGCATTTGCCGAAGGGGAGGTCAACTAAACTTTCTATTACATACGACCCACAACTCAGAGCGGTTTTTTTTTCCGTCGTGGTGCGAATCAGCGGTGGGGGGAGTTTGTATGGAGTACTACCAAGATCAAGAAGCCGGAGATGATTTCCGAGATCTAATGGTGGCCGTCGCAATAAGATTCAAGAGAGTGAGAAAACGCGTGCTTCATATATGTGCAGTCGTCTTCCTACATACATGGTGTCCTGCAGACAAGTAAAACCGGGTTTTGAAACTCAATGGAACGGAAACTTGCAGGCAAAACACTGGAAGTTCCATTAAGCGAAAGGCTTGAGAATACCAAGCTAGGTGCCATGAACGCTCCTGGAGGTGCTTCGGTCACCTTTAACTTTCAATGGCGGGAGTCTTCGAAGATATATGTATGCAGATCCCTTCAGGCGGATCCATGCTGGGAAATGTACTGGCTTACATACAGCAAGATACTTGGGAGCGGTGGTGGGACAAAAACCTGTGGCACACGCAAGGTTCTGAGGGTTCTCTTAGCTAATACAACAGTATTTTGTTATTGTTGAATATAAGTACAGTACCTATGAGTTGGGTTCTCGAACGTCCGTCTGTCCCCATCCTCAGCAGGGTCTAGAGCATCTTTTGCCGGGGTCGCTTATGGTACCTACAGAGTGAGTGATGATGACTGACGGCCGATGAAGTAGACGTCAACACGGGCAGAAGACATCCAAGGCGCCAAATCAACTCCATGCCATTGTTTTAGATAAGTACCTGTTGAGATTTTCGAGAAAAATTCGAAAGCCGTACTCCGGTCGAAGTTTGGATATGATCGCCTCCCAGGAATTGCTTATCATAAACAGAAGTGTATTCTCAATCGGGCAGATCGATCGTTTCTGGAAATGTAGACGCATTGGGATGCTACACAGAAATGGGTAACAACGTAATTGTCTGACAGACCAAGCAAAACTTGGTGTTTTGAGCACTGCAAGTTTCGAACCTGCATCCTGGTATCTTATCATATGGCATTTCTAGCACCATGCAGAGCTGATATATAGCTTCATGTGAATCCGATGCTTTTAGCCGTTACCACGCAGCTGGCTTGTGACACATCTCGGCATCATGGTTCATCACTCACAGACTCGAGTTTTCGAGATGTTAATTAATTTATGAAAGGAACCATGTGAGTGTAGTGAGTGAAATGTAGAGAGAGAGAGTCTATTACACCCGTACATGTATGGGCACGTACCATAGCTAGCCACCGCTGCCACACTTGAAACGTCGGGTCTCTGGAAATAGTCAATTTTGAAAGTCACTTCGTACAGTACCAGTCAACTTTTACCGTTCTAACTTTTTTGCTGATACTGTACCGGTCTTCGTGGTCAGTACGTCAACAGTCAGAAGGGGGTGTACTAAAAGTTTTTATTGAATGTTTGGTCGACTCTTGACCACTCGGAGATGGAAAAACTGTCATCACAACATAGTGTACTAACCGCGAAGACCGGTACAGTAACTAGTCTCGTGACGGCTTTCCTGCGTAGCCCGGTGAGCCGACGTCGTGACTTGAGACTAAACCTAGAACCGACGCGTTTTTCCCCGCCATGCTCATACGTTAAGAAGTCGCTGTCCGTAAATTCCTGTCGCAGGTATCCCGCTAATGACTTTCTTGCGAATAAAGATGTGGAATGGCACCTGCATAAAGGTAGCGGTAGTCGGTGAGGGCTTTGGTGCTGACTACCTCCAAGTTCATAACGTTCTCATTCTCTTCCTTACCAAATACGAGTTTCCACTTTCAAAGTTTCATAAGATGTCACCCTTCAAAATCAGGTGAATTGACCCAGGCAAGGCTGTCTGTCCCACAGTTTCTCTCATAACGTTCAGGTGGACTCAAGCTGCAAGGTTTGAGCTTTCTTTTATTTCAAGCCGGCTCCCGATGCTCAGGTCACGCCCATCACTAGCCAAAGCCAATCTCGATGGCTCAAACCTTAAATTTCCTCCCCAGTGTGAAAAGAGAGCAGCAATGCCCGGAATCGAACCAGGACCTTTAAGAATACGATGATAATGCCGTTTTCTTAATGTGCTGGCCATTGCACTACATCGCCTTGGGATATTTGTATACATTCTCACAGAATTGTTACATGTATACTTAGAGTCTGGGCATACGTGAGTTCCGAGGTCTTCTAGATCCGAGGAACGAGGTACGTCACTCAGATGTAAGATGAACCTACTTTGGTGTATATATACAGGCCTTGATAGCCCCGTAGATACAAGTCAATCAAGCATCTATTCATCTCTCAAAAGTAACAAGAATCACAACTTCAACAACGAGTGAGAATGTGTGAACCAGGACCCCCCAACAGCTAGTTGTACCACAGTGGGGTTACGTGCCAGCATCTGAAAACCCTGCTGCTGCATGGAACTTGTTATGTAAGAGTTGAAGAGATTTTGTGACTTGGACTGCTAAAGTACCTGGTCGTATACTGGTGTGCGAGTGAACAAACCTCCGACTGGGATGGGATGATTATGGCTTCTGTGACGGGAGTGGATGTATATGCGGTAGTCTCGGGGGAGGGCGATATCGCGATATAAAGTTTAGGATTGAGAAAAACATCTGAGCGTTATGAAGCACATATCACCTTGCTGATCGAGATTCCAGATCTGCAGACATTCAGTTCAACCCCATGTTCGTGTATGGGACAAAGATAGTTATCGGGCTGACGGAGAAGAATGTTGGGAAACCTGCATTCTCTAAACGTTTTTCATTTGTTCCTTATGCCTGCTCTCATCCGCAGATCTTGTTTCTCGTACTCTCCTTAAAAACGAGAACGGCTGGTTTCCGAGCGGCGAGCGCACCTTATACTTACCCCAATTAAAAAACCCCCATAACTCCCGCACGAAAAACAAACCCCCAACTCCCAGAACTCAATAGAACCCTCCAACTATACAATACCAACTTGCCTCGTCGCCATCGCCGCACAGGAACCCCCCGAACCGCTGCTCCCACACTTTGCGCCCCCCATTACAGGCGGATCCAAAAACCTACTCCCCCCTTTCGTCATGTCCACCCCAACAACCACATCCCTCCCCACCACCACCTCCTCATTCCAGGATCTAACAAGCACCCTCAGCCCAGGAATACAGCTCACAATGGCAGCACAAAACGTCTCCAGTTCCGCAAGCAGCTCCAGGGGAATCGTCGCATGCGCCGAGTAGAATGTGATATGCTTGGTGATAGCATTTAACACGAGTCTTGCGAGCGCGATTAAGATCGTTGTTGCGACCATGATGAACACCAGCGAGGCTGCAGAAATAGGCCGGTGCAACGCAGTGACGGTTTTGTAGGCTATCACGACGACTAGAGGGGTATGTTAGCAAAGGATAGGGTAGGAACGGGGGAGACGGACGAAGGAGGTCGGTGAGGATGTTGGTAATCGTGAGGACGAATTCATTTGAGGCTGAGAGCGAGACGAAGCGGATGCCGTTTACGTAAATTCCGTCCCTGGGTTTGCGGTAAGTTTAGATGGCAGGAGAGGAGAAGCAGATGGGCGAGGGGGGACAAACATGACGTCCTCAACGGTCGGGTGGATCCACTGCTGGACTACGTCCTTGCATATAGTCCAGATCGCAATGAGAAAAGTGACGGTGATGGCGACCGCAGTAAAATACAGCACAGACCGCCATCGGCTCGTGAGTGCCTCCCTCGTCTCCATGAACAGCGCTACGAACGCAAATTTGATCACCCACAACGCCCAGCTGAGGAAGATACGCAATCAAAGTTGGAGCTATGCCGCTCAGTTCCTGTTTTTTTTTTGGTGAAAGGAGGAAGACACATACCATGTAGATTTGCCCCGCAGTTTCGATGACAGTGGTGACCTCCGCGGAGGTATATGAGGACGGCGGTCGGTTCATCCGGTACGTGGCTTCGTTGGGACTTATGACATCCCGGATCCGGATTATCCGCTCATTGAGGAAGTAGACGGCAATCAGAAGCGTCACATAGATGGTGCAGAGGATAGCGGAGAAAAACGTGAGCAGCATGCTAATCCCCCTCCAGCTCCTGAGCCCTGTATAGTGCTGTCGGAACGCCCAGAGACGCACCCCTACGACTATCCAGAGTATCGTGATGAGCGTAAGGAATATGGGGAGTTGGAATCTGTCGTAGTAGATGTCGTTGGAGAGCGGCATCATGATTGGGCAACTGCGCTCGAATATGTGATGGTACTGAAATATATCAATTAACTGTCATCAAGTAGTGAAATGGTGGGAACATACGCATGCCGCACCTCTGATTCTGAAACAAATCAACCAAGCACGGATTGACGCAGAGAGACAGGAAGGGGTGAACCGTCTCCTTAAGAACGAATATGAATTCGAATACCAACGACGCCAAGTTCTTAATCAACCCAAGCTCGTCCTCGGAGTACTATAATTCAATTAGCCTTTTGAACAGTTGAACTACACTAGCTTCTTGCATATTTCCCCGCTTTCCTTCCTACACACAGACACCTATCCGTGTAGCCCCAAGCCCTTCAGCCTAACAATACCGTACAACAACAACAACAACGCCCGTCATTGGTGGAGGTGGAGACAAGATCTCCGGAGAGGCAGTCGTCCCATGCACGGTTGGCATGACAGTCGCGGGCTGTACCGGTCATCCAATCGGAGCGATGGATTTGCTTTGGCCTAGGCCACTACTGATGCAGTTCGCTTATCTGAGTCGCGTACTTTCGCTTGTCATCAAGCTTGGATATTTCGGTTTCCCCTTCCTCTTCGGTCTGAAGAATTATCCAAGGGCTGTCATTATTACAGCGCCTGCAAACCAACCTTCATACCTTACTAGGAATATAAGTGCGAGATTGCATCTTGCTCGATGTCGGTCTTGGGTGAATTGCAATACTGGATAACATCACCATCTAAAGATTAGCCTCTTAACATGCCAAAAGATGCGGACAACTCTATATATACCTTGTAGCAGCGTCGGCTCCAAAATGCGGGTTGTTAGACGACCCCACAGACCAGGTTACCGATTGTTCCCTCCCGCTTGCCGGCTATATGTTTGTCCGGTCCAAGAACAGACCATTGGAAGTTGCAACGTTGTGATGTCCCCGGATTTTGGGGAAAGCGAATAGAAGACCAAAGATAATGCAAAAAACTAATGCTACCGAGAGGCTCGTCGTGTGACCTCGAGCGTAGGAGTACGAGCTCCGAGAGGACGACAAGAGCCGTTCAATAAACTCCTCTGTTTGGCCACGTTGAGTATGCGAGAGAGGTAACCGTGTCCGGGCTCGGGAGGATTGGGTAGCCTAGTAGAAAAAAAAGCCGACAATCTTCTGAGGCCGAAACTAATGCCTGAGCTGTAAGGAAGTACAGTAAAAGCGCACTGTGGAACTAGTCATCTAAGTATCCTTATCAGTAAGTTATATCGTCTTCACAAGTAACTGTTCAGGTAAATACCACGAGAGTATGTATACCTACTCTACACAATATCAGTAGTGTAAGGTATTTGAAGCCAACTCGAAAATCAGGGGAATGCGTTAGTTCTGCCCTGATCCTCGCATTGCATTAGCAAGCGACTGGACGTGCCTATAGCTACAGCCCTGTCGACGATAACGGATGTCCGCACGGACATCCGCATTTCTTCCCTCTACCCAATGCCAAGCCGGGCCGACTGTCCAATAGCACGTTTCCCGGTTAGTTGAAATTCTGCACTGACGGAATGCAAAGCGGACAAGGCGGCGCTTAACGTAACATACTCAAAGTGACTGGCGAACAATGCGTCGTGGGGTGTATATATGGTTGGTGATGGAGACGAAGGACCCTACTCAATAGCCCGCAAGGTACTTGTAGAGTAGGTCCCAGCATGTCCAGAAGGGAAAAATGAAATTTTCCCGAATTTGCTGCCCCTAAAGTTGTACTTCATGCTGTTTGATTGCCATCCTCGTAATAAACTTCCTGGAAAATATCTATTTGTGCTTCGAAACGTCTGGATATAGGTTATGGGTTGCCTCATGCTGTTTATTTGACTCCTGGTTTCCACAACTCTCGTTGGACCCTTATGTTTGAACTGCTTTCGTCAGATCTCAACGTAAACTCTGACCAGCCCGACTCCTCCCCATCCTTTACCGGCATTCAGTGTTCTGGAAGGTCTTTCGTGAGACCAGACGCGGTAATGACAGAGATGTTAGTTGTTGGAGATAGGACGCACGGATGTACATTGAAACCCGAGGTAATGGTGCGGCTGAAGCCAAAACACGACGCTACGACAGAAGCATCCCAACTGAGGAGGACGGAAATAAAGATGTGGCTCTGAAATTGTGAAAACTTCACGGATCTCGCGGAGTAACGTAGTGTTTCAGGTATTGTTGTTCGTGTAGTGAAGAAGTGCAGAAGTGAGGGACCAGAGAGGCGCTTTATCTAGGTATGTAGGCCTGGCTGCAAGTGAAGTCTGGTGTGGGGGGTGTCTCTTTGGGGCTTCTGCAGCCGAGTTCGGAAGGAGTCGAACGGTCGGAATATAGCCATGTTGTTCCACCGCAGTCCGGAAGGCAGCCGTGTTCTCCTATCGAAGGCTGGAACCAAGCCGTGCGCTTTCACCGTTGGTCTAATGGCAGGTCAAACAGCTAAGTTGGCGGTGGCTTGGGCGAGCTTCTGGGTGTTTTTATTGTTTTTGTTGTTTTTATCGAGTCTTCCACGGCCATGGCCTGGCGGTAGGAATACAAGACGCAATTCCCGGGTAAAGACGTGATTTAAACAGTAGTCACCAACGGTGATGTATCGAACAGGGGCATCAAAATTTCGTCGGGGGATGGTGGAGGTGGAGATGAAGACGTGTAGTTTGGTGAACTCGAGGTGCCTTGGCGACATTCTTTGGAGATGGCAAAGGAACTACGGCGCTTCCTTCGTCACTCGCAGTGCAATAAACGAGCATCTGATTCAATTTTGTCTTTCATGCGCTCTAGAGCTCTTATTCCAACCGATGCCAGTTCATTATCCTCTAGACTCTCGACGAATATGGGAACAAGAGCAAGGCCCATAAGTATGCTCAGAGGTACGTATACTATCTGGAATTTTGACTTCACCCCATACTGAGCGCGTTATTCGCGGC